AAACTAAGCCATAATGTGAAAGGTCGATTATTATTGTAGAAAATGCCTACCATATGTTGGAAAGTCATCTCAATTATTTGGGAAATTTTGGTGATATCTACGTAACACCTAAACAAAGTCTTCCAGTAGATTTGATTCTGTGAATCATTAATGTATGAAGACATTTGCAAGTCTGCCGTCCAAATATTGAGAGATTCCGACATTAGTCTCAAGCACGTGGTAGCGTAAATCACATTAACGTCAAAGCGAACGTTAGTGTACGCTGACAATGTGTTAAGAATACTAATATCGTTAAAGGCAAAAAAGTAAATTAACGTCCAGGAGATATGGAAACAGTTGATGGCGAGTACACAGAGCCAGCTAGCAATAATGGAGCGCTTGAAACAACACTCGTTCAACTTGAGGATCTTGTGCACGTTCTGGATCTTCAAGACGTACAGCACGTTGTTATACTTCTGTTTGATGTTGATAAAGAAGTTTACAAAACCTCCAATAGAGAATAATACATAGTCGTAGATGTTCATAATAAAATGCTCGAAGTTGGACTCGCCACCGTTTGTTTTTGTAGCAAAGAACATGCAGTAGAGGTACATCATGAGTAAAAAATAAAAGATAACAGACATGGCGCTGTATAACCGACTGATGGGCTTGATGACGTGACCCCTGATTCTATACTTAGCGCAGAAAAACACATTTTGTATAATATTTAATGGTCGCAGTATTGATACTAAGTAAGGTTCCACAATATGTTCAAATAGGACTTTGTTTTCATCATTATTCAATTTCTTTGAAGGCTCATGTTCCGCTTGACCCATTGATATATCCATTTTGTTACTTGCATTTTGTTCATGGAACTAAATTTTAATACAACTGACAAAAGAAATAGGAATAAATACGGAGTAGATCGAAGTTTGATACGATCATTATCAAACATTTCTATGTCATTTATGATAATAATTTATTTACCATACCATACTCATTCATTTGTGAAAGTAATGTCTATCCAACTAGATAGATGTAAAGTAAGATAACCCCGAAAATATTTATAGAAACACAAATTGTAATATGACGATGGTGTAGGTAGTTATGAATGCGATCACACGCAGCGGCAGCGACGCGTCCACTGCGAACAGACCGCACACTCGAAATTTGCTGAACGTCGCGTCTTGAACTCGCAGAATGTTCTTGCAAAATCTCTTCTGATTTGCTGTAGAGATAATAAAATAGTATAATATAGAATATCACTTGCAATATTAGTAGGTGAAAGGGAATATGAAATTCAAAGAAATGGTGAATACCCATCCACCATTTCTTTGAGTTTCTTTAAATCATGCCAGGGAAGTGGCATTCGATACTAGGGGAGAATAAGTCCATGGTACATATGAATCTATAATTTCAAACAAGCACTTAGCTTCACTGATGTTAGTAGGGGAGCCCATGATGCTAAATTGGGATTTACTTGAGCGTCCTTGGGACCTACTGGATTTTGAAGATATGCTGATAGAAAGAAGAAATGGTTTAGTGACAATTTCTTCCACCAGTGGGGGAAGGGGGAATCTACAGATCTTTGAAATTGTTAAGCGTAACTTTTGTTCTAGTGGTCGAGCGTGTCAGATATTGATAATGTACATGCTCCATGTGTATTTAATAATAAAAAACTCTTAATCTGCCAGTTTGCATGGTGGGGTTGAATGTTCTGGAGAGTACAAACGAGAACCCTTCAAAATCCCCCCACTCTTGCAAATCAAGTTGGAATGAGCAGATTTTTTAAACGCACTTCCTTTAGCACGGTATTGACCTACCTTCCCTTAATCTGACGAAACTGACTTTATTTAGTCAGACTTTTTTTTTTATTTTCAGTCCCCCCCTTCTAATCAGATCGGATATATGTTGGGTATATTCAACATGACACTAGGTTTTTCCCATATGTTAATCTGACGCGCTCGAGTAACTACCGAAATCCCTTCATGGGCTCCTGTACTATGTGCACTCTGACGGTTAATTCGATTTCGTCGTTCAAGTACCTATTCGTTTAGGGATTAATTGAATGAAACAAATGCTTTAGCGTTGAGAGAAGCAACGATATTATAATAGATTAACTAAAAGCGCGACCAGAGGGCTGGCTTTTTCTTCGGACAGAAAATCAGCATTGCCATTCAACGTGGCAATGCTGCCAGTCTTCGGGGAACGTTCCCCTGTGATAGTGATGTGGACGAATACTTTGACGCCTAAATTAAGGGTATAATTTTTGTTGTATTCTTTTTTTTACTTTCGTTTTATATAGTTTAGTTGTAGTTAATTTTAAGTTGTAAATATTTATGTAGTTATATAAATTAAAATAAATTTATAAAGGTAAATAATTAATTCATAATATAATTTTACTAAAAGCTCTACTAGTTTCGAACCACAGAGGGGTTTTTCCTTATGAGCAGCGTGCGCGGTCGTAGTAGAGCGTTTCTCAGTATATTCACGTGAGTAACCCGCGATTTTAGTTAATTTAGTATGTCTCACGATAGTTATGATATTATAATCACTGCGCATGATATGTACTATATATTATTATCCTTTAATATCAGCATTTCCTTCTAACCTGAGCTCCTTTCTGAAGTAGTCATCTGTGAACAAGTGTTTTCAACATCTTTCATTGCCGAGTAGTACTTCTCACACTCCACACACAGAAATGTGATTATGACAAGGTTCTTCATTACCCATGTAAGACACGAAAACGTTAACAGGCTGTACTGAAACTGAAAATAATATTAGTTATTCAATACTTAAGTTATAGATTTAGATAGATTTTATTGGTTAAGGAATTATGAAAATACCTGCAGCTCTTTATTTGGTACAGTTGGCCTCATTTTAACACGAACCCATATATCCATTAATGAGTAAGAAGACGTATAAACTAAATAGAAAAGTACCTGAAATAAAATTCCACCAATGAATTTTTGGGACTATAAAGCTCAAGGTCTCGTGCAGAAGACTACGGGTCTTCTGCACGAGACCGCATACCGCCGCGGTTGCGATTATTACCCGCAAACTTTCAACAAGAGCGGGCGGGCGGATAAATTAAGTTCCAGACCGGCTGTCCTATTACAATCATCCGCCAACCGATTACAGAGAGCGCGGGCGTAAACCGCCGCGGCTGCGGGACTGCAGCCGTGCTCGCCGATGACAATCACAACCGCTGCGAGCGTAGAATGCGCCGTGAAATGTGCATTGATTTCTTACATACATATGTATATGTATTCTATAAATCCGTGAGTCCTTAGCCTTACTTACCATAGGATGAAAAGTTTTCTCAACTATTAGGAACACTTCAGTGATATCCACGTAACATTGAAACATAGAATCCCAGTAATTGTTATCCTGTGAATCATAGATATATGCTGACTTCTGTAGATCTGACGTCCAAACTTTTAGGGCTTCAGTCATAAGTCTCAAGCACCGTGTGGCGTAAATCACGTTAACGTCAAAGCGAACGTTAGTGTACGCTGACAATGTGTTAAGAATATTAACATCATTGAAGGTAAAAAAGTAAATTAATGTCCAGGAGATATGGAAACAGTTGATGGCGAGTACACAGGTCCAGTTAGCAATAATGGAGCGCTTGAAACAACGCTCGTTCAACTTGAGGATCTTGTGCACGTTCTGGATCTTCAAGACGTACAGCACGTTGTTATACTTCTGTTTGATGTTAGTGATGAAGTTTGTAAAGCCCCCAATAGAGACCAAAGTATAGTCATAGATGTCCAAGACAAAACGCTCGAAGTAGGCCCCGCCACCGTTTGTTTTCGTTGTGAAAAACATGTAGTAGAGGTACGTCATCAGTAAAAAATAAAAGATAACAGACAAGGCGCTGTATAACCGACTGATGGGCTTGATGACGTGACCCCTGATTCTATACTTAGCGCAGAAAAACACATTTTGTATAATATTTAATGGTCTCAGTATTGATACTAAGTAGGGTTCCACAATATACTTATTTGCAGTTTCGTTTTCATCACTATTTATTTCATGTGATATTTCTTCTTCAGTGTCATCTATAAATATACCAATGCTTTTACTCGAATTACATTTACGTTTTGTTCGGGACGACATAATATCCATTGAATATAATCATTACCGACACCCAGCGTTCCGTTTGTTAAATAAATTCCAACTTACGATTATTCGGTATCTAATCGACTTCGATTACTTTTGTTTAAATAGGTATTATATTTTTAAGTACATACAATGCAAACATTTCCCATGATATAATTATAATATTCAAGAATTATTTATGTAATCATGTTTGTCTGTTACCCACAGAAATTTTAATGTTTCATTTACGATATTAATGAGATTATATTCAACTTTTTCATTACATTGAAAGATGGACATGGAGGGCACATCTCTTTCCACTACATAAATTACGAGGCAAACTTAACCAAAATATTTTTTTCTAAATGCATGATTGCTATGTGGTTGCTAGGTATGAAATTAATCGATCGCACCCATACTAAACGCATGTGTTAACTTCATCACGCTAACAATTAGTAAACAACAAATTATTAAAGTAATAAATGGATCGAGACGTGCGGGCAGCGCGTCCAGACAAGCCAAACAGAACAGCGCGAACCATCTAGTCAAGTGAAAATCTAAAATGTCGTTTTCAAAATATTATATATTTTTTTAATAAATTTAATAACTACCATTGGACTTGGCACCCATTTAGATATTATTTCTTTGGCGCTGAAGTATTCATTTTTATTTTCATGGGATTGACCTTTCAAGTGACTTTACTTTGAATGCGAATGATAGACGTCTTATTAATATAATAGGTCGATATTGTAGTTTTACAGAATTTACGAAACATATTTTTTTAATTTTGGGTATCACACCCAAAAATGAAGTTTATCCATATAATTTATTTGGCAAACAAAGCAAACAGAGTAGTTAAGTACAATAAATAACTAATAACATTTTTTTGTATGCAAATTACGTAAATGATGCATGTATTACAGAATAGAAAACTGTAGCAACACTACTATGTAGTTAGTGAGTAGACTCATGAGACTCAGTTGTAGCGCCGCGTCCACGTAGAACAGGCTGCACACACGTATCTTGCTGAATGTCGCGCGGTGCAGGCGCAGCACGTTCTTGTAGAGTTTTCTGACTTCATCTGTAGAATGTACCAGAAGTAAAAAAAAACCGAACATAATGTCTACAAAAGAAGATAAGTAAGGAATTCAATAATTTTATTTTTCATAATCTTACCTGAATAATTAGATTTCAAAATATGTGTGCAACTGTCTGGAACAGTTTGGAAAGCGAGGTATAATTTCTCACACTGTCGAGTCAACATTGTTTGCCATATCAAATCTTTGCACAACCACAATAGTACTGACGCTGATATAACTGTAGCTTTATCCTGTAGAAGATATTGATTGTAAATTATAGAAAGAATGGAAGAAACTAGTAGAATTTTTCCTCATTATTTCTCTCGAGTAAATGTAAACATAACATAACATCACGCCAGTTTATCCCCGAAGAGGTAGGCAGAGGTGCATACGGCACTCAATGCCACTATACAATCTGACTTTTCACAATTTATGTTATATGTCCCATGTAATAGGTAGGGGGTGAGCCTATTGCCATATATCGGGCACAATTCCAGACTTCGTGCTACTACTGAGAATTTATAAAAACCCAGTAGTACTTTGCCCGACCCGGGAATCGAATCCGAGACCCCTTGACCGGCAGTCGCACTTGCGACCACTCGGCCAACGAGGCTGTCAATATAACTATTTTGATTATTTTCTTTTTCGTAACCAGTGATCGGAAAAATGGAAAAATCCTGAATGGTAGGTAATTTAACACCTAATTATAAAACTAATTATAATCCAAAAACATGAAAAGAATACTTACGAAATTTAATATCACGCTTCTTTTTATAATTTCAATTGCAGCCTGAAAGTATATCAGGGCGTGTGTAAATAGTTCCAAGATGAAGTAGAGGTACTGGAAAGTAAATAATTTGTGCTTAGTTTCGATCAGACTGCGCGGTTAGTGTGCTGGCTGGGCAACCGGCTGCCGCACAATGAGTCATGGGTTCGACTCCCGCAAGGAACAACTTTTTGTGTGATCCTCAAATGTTTGTGATCGCACCCACGACACAGGAGGAATTCCTAGAGTGGGACAACGTTAAGAAAAACGACTATGATCTTATCTTTGAACTGACCGGTTTTGTTTATCATGACAGGCGGTAATCAGCTTATGTATTTCATTTATTTTATATAGCTATAGCTTCTGTCCCCGGCGTCGCCAGCGTCCCCGTAGTACAAAAAGTGGCCTATGTGTTATTTTAGACCATTGTCTGCCCCTGTTCCAACTCTTATCCCGATCATGTCAGACTTAAGATATTTGTATTCTCTTGGTTTTGTTTTTTTCTTTTTAGTACGTTCTGTTATTTGTATGATGCGTCAGGTATGTCTTTACATTACTCTCACATGTGTACAATATTGGAATATGTATCAGAGCAATGTAAAACAGACTTTTTTAAAAGAGTAACGAATGGAGTTTCTTGCTCGTTCTTCTCCACTCGTATCGACATTTTGGAACGAGCGCCTAGCTTCACTGACGGACAGACTGACAGACTATTATTTATTTCATATTTGTTGACGTTTCAAAAGTACCAAATTATGGTTTAATTGAAATGAACGCTTTTGAGTTTGAGTTTGATCACTTCAGACGTTATGTCGTGAAGGAGTAAACAAACGAACAAACAAACTTTCGGATAGTTATAATATTAGTAGGCTAATGAAATTAAATTATTGTAGGTTAATTTGTTTCTAGAAAAAAGAACATCAATGGCATGTATCTGATG